CCCTATGGAGGATGCATGGTCATAGGGGCGGATGTGTGACCCTATAGAGGTTATATGGTCATAGGGGGGGACGTGTGACCCTATAGAGGTTATATGGTCATAACGGGGGATGTGTGACCCTATAGAGGTTTTATGGTCACAGGGGGGGATGTGTGACCCCATGGAGGTTACATGGTCATAGGGGGGGACGTGTGACCCTATAGAGGTTATAAGATCATAGGGGGGGATGTGTGACCCTATGGAAGATGCACAACCCTCAGCAGGTGACACAGTACCCTGGGGGGTGACGCACAAGACTGATGGACCCCCTCTTTCCTCCCAGCCCCCACCCACCAGAGATATCCACCGGCATGGAGATGCAGCGGCTCAGCAGCGGTGGTGCAGAGGCATCCAGAACTCCAGCTTTCAGCGGCTCAACTGCAGGGACAGACAGCTGTGAGCCCCCTCCTGCTGCAGGGCGAGGGCCAGGGAGGTGGGGGGAGGGGTCCAGACCCTTACTCAGCTCCGTTGGTCTCTCCCTGCTCTCCTCAGCAGTGCCGAGACCCCGCTTGCCATGGCGGACTGGGCTGGTGCGGGTGGCGAGGTTGGGCTGTGGGAAGAGCCTCAGCGGCTGCATCTCCTGCGAGGGGACAAGGTGACAATGGAGAGAGCCAGGGAGGAGCCAGGACTCTTTCGCCCCCACGGTGGGGGATTTTCAGCCCTCCCCTCCCACGCTCACGTGGCTGAAAAGCTCGTTGGTCAGCCCCAGGTAATTGTGCAGAGCCAGGAAGGTGACGCGCTGCAAGCGCACCATGATGATCTGCGGGGACAAGGAGATGATGATGTGATGATCACTGTCCCCTGCTCGTCCCCGGTGACATCCCAGCGGGGTCGGGCTCACCTGCACCACCCGCACCAGGCTCTCGGGGTATTTCTCAAAGACAGCTGAAAAGGCTTCAACTGGTAAACGCAGAACTGTAGAATCCTCCGCCGCCCGCGCGCACACCGTGCGGTACGGCCGCTGGTGGCCCTAGGGGACAGCAGGGGTGGCGGTGTCACTGCTGTCCTGGCAATGACTCCGGGCTGGGAGTGGGGACAGAGGGACATTCGCAGGGTCAGGGTGGTGCGGTTTGGGAATGGTGGTGGTTGGGTTTGGGGATGGCTGCGGTCGGTTTTGGCTTAAGGGATGGCCAGGGTTGGGTTTGGAAGGGTTTGGGGATGGCCGTGGTTGGGTTTGGGTTAGAGAATGGCCATGGTTGGGATTGGGTTTGGGGATGGCCAAGGTTGGGTTTGGAGATGGCCATGGTTGGGTTTGGAGATGGCCATGGTTGGGTTTGGGGACGGCCAAGTCTGGGTTTGGGTTTGGGGATGGCCATAGTTGGGTTTGGAAAGATTTGGGCAGGGCCATGGTTGGACTTGGAAGGGTTTGGATTTGGAAAGGTTGGAGGATGGCCATGGTTGGATTTGGAAGGGTTTGCGGATGGCCAAGGTTGTGTTTGGGTTAGAGGATGGTCATGGCTGGGTATGGGTTAGGGGAGGGCCTTGGTTGGGTTTGGAAGGTTTGGGGATGGGCAAGGTTGGATTTGGGTTTGGGGATGGCCATGGTTGGGTTTGGGTTTGGGGATGGTTACTGTTGGGTTTGGGGATGGCAAAGTCTGGGTTTGGGTTTGGGGGTGGCCATGGTTGGGTTTGGAAGGATTTGGGCATGGCCATGGTTGGACTTGGAAGGGTTTGGGATTGGAAGGTTTGCAGATGGCCAAGGTTGGGTTTAGGTTAGAGAATGATCATGGGTGGGTATGGGTTAGGGGAGGGCCTCGGTTGGGTTTGGAAGGGTTTGGGGGATGGGCAAGGTTGGATTTGGGTTTGGGGATGGCTGTGGTTGAGATTGGGTTTGGCAAAGTCTGGGTTTGGGTTTGGGGTGGCCAGGTTGGGTTTGGAAGGATTTGGGCATGGCCATGGTTGGATTTGGAAGGGTTTGGGTTTGGAAGGGTTTGCGGATGGCCAAGGTTGTGTTTGGGTTAGAGGAT